GAATCAAATGGGATCCAAGCAACTGGAATTCTAAACATATTAGAATTGGTCACCTTGATAGCTAGGGGATAAATTGTATATATCTGTAATAAAATAAGGACATTCCTCCACAGAAGTTTGGTTTGAAAGAGTAAAAATCATCATCTGGAAGAAGCCAGGAAAACATTAAACATAACTTTCTCGGTTCACCTTCATTATAACACACGTACACAGGAAAACAAAGAGAACGGCTTCTTTCTTATTACCTTCACTTTTCTTCTTCACTCCTGAGCCCCATAGTGATGGGGAAAATACTTATAAAAATGCAGAAGGACTTCAAATTCAAGGTCATCTTCATCACAATTTCCTGCTAGAATCCCTCCTTCTTATTTTTCTGTTGCAAATCTATACAACTACCACTAAAATTATGGAGTACAAAGAAATACTATCGTAGATGTGACTGATTTCTCTAAACAGTATTTAGAGAATTGCAATGCCATGAAGTACACACATACAGCTAGTTACTGATTTACTTTAAGATTAAACATAGATTATTGCATCTCCCACAGAGTATTTCTATTAATGAACTGGTACTAGCTTTGCTGGAATTGAAAAAATATTCAGCATCCAGTATGGATTAGCTTGGGTAACTTCCAGTACTGTGCCATAATTCCTTGCCTTTCTGTTTTCTTAACAGAACGATCTTTGTGCTAAGAACACAAAATGGAGCCAATTTCAACTCTGTTGAAGAAAAATGAACAAAAAAGATAAAGATAGAAGAAAAAGAAATTAAAAGTTCTAGGAATAGAAGTGGGAAATGGTTAAAAAAAACACACCAAAAAGCACCCTTATAGGTATCTGTTTCAGTTTTACCATTTTTATATTTTTATCCGTCAAAAAATTAGTAATCTTTCCCTGCCTCAGTTTTTTCATCTGAAGCTGAAAAAACATTTCTGAGTTAAAGGACATGGATGTTGCATGAATTTAAGATAGATAGGTCAGATCCTCAGCAGATGTAAACTGCTGTAGTTCCACTGAATATCATATAATAGTAACTTATTACATGTGAATAAGAGGCAAATCCTTGCTCCAAATACAAAAGATTTCATACAATGCCATTAACTTCAGTAAAATTCTATCAGTTTAATCAACGGAGGAAGCATGTGCATTCTGAAACCATAATTCCCTATGCCTACTTCAATATTTGATCAATATAGAATATACAGTTTTTTTTAAAATTTATCACAATAAGTATCTGTTCAAAGTGTGCACACTGAAATTACCAATTCTCTTCAAAATCTTTGAAAAGTCATCTGTGAGGAGTGTTTGTGGGATAGAATGGGAACAGAGTTATACTCAAGTACACTGAAGAGCACTCTTCACATTAAGAGTACAATTTTTTTGTTGGTAAAAACAGTAGAAGTTAGAAACAGTAAAACAATCAAACGCTGTTTGTAATACTGCAGTATTTAGAGACTCAAATTAAGAATGAAGATCCCATTTTAAGTAGGATAATCATATACAGAAATACAGAATTCCAAGTGGGGAACTAAGGAGACATGAACAAAAAGCAAAAACAATGAGATGAAAGGGCATTTAAGTTGTTTCTAAAAATATGCCAGCTCCTTGAGGATGGCATATTTAAGATTTCACCTATGTCTATACAAATATAATTATTGACATGAGAAACAGATTACTTAGCAGATGTTTTACATTATCTATTTAAAAAATATATCTGGGAGGAATTTAACAGATTTCATTGACATCAGGGTTTGGCCCAGTACATTTTAATAAACTATAAACCTCCAGTACAGTTCACATAGCAATCGTTGTCTGGAGAATTTACACCAAATACACTAGACGATGTAATAAACTTTCTTTTAAAGGTATAAAAATGCAGCTAATATGACCTATGATTTCTGGATCACCACAGCCCATGAGTTTTTGCAAGATTAGAATAAATGATTCTCTCACTAGTTGTGGTCTGTTATTTTGCCACCACTGGGGGGTGTACATGAAAGGAGGCTTTGGCTTCAATTGCACATTCCGTAATCCTATAAAATCACTATAAAATAGGAAGGTCATTCATTTTTTAAACATCACAGATTATTTGTTGTATAACCCCCCCAGCCCCATCTTTGCATTCAATTATGACAAACTAAACAAAGGAGGAGGAATAAAAACAATACTTAGTTGTACATAAAAAATTGTATATTGATGCTAAGAGACACATTGACTGTTTGCATTACAATGCTCTAAAGGACATTTTAAAATGTGATGTAGCTGTGTCTCCTACATCAGTTTGAGTTTTCTCCCGTTTCGTACCGAGTCTTAAAGCATACTGTGTGATAATGATCCATTTTGCACATCTACCACACTAAGGAGAGACTTGCTACTTGTAAGTATTGTCAATCTCAAGAAAGATGGTAGTCAGCAGGAGATTCAGAAATCTAACTTTAAAAATTTGTCTTGATATAGAACCAACAGCTAGCAATCGCTTCCCACCAGGGACTCTCCTGGAACATTAGTCTAAGCAAACTGCCTAAGCTTTACATGAAAACAAAATCCAAATCTTGTCGCTAAAATTGTCTGCATGTTAGTAATTTTCAAAAAAGGGGGTTTACAGAGTGCCATGTAGTAAATTAGTACATGAAAGGCCAAGCCACTAAATATTCTCATCTTGCAGAACTTCTTGTTACTCCCCCTACACCCTCACACTAAGTGTTCAAACTTAACACATAGCAGCATGCAGTTTCCACAAGGAGGAAACCCACATGGAAATACTACAAAATATCAAAACATCCCATTTATTGTTACATTTTGAGATCTTGGCCCTTATATACAGTTTCCCTAATCAAAACACACGATCCAACAAATGTCACTGTGGAAAGCATTATCAGGAATTTCTGTTTTCTTTGTTTGACTGAGCTGGTGTCTGCACGGTAGCAGGGAAAGGGATAATGACCTAGCAAGGTTAAATAACGTCTGAAAATTAGACTTCTAAACGGATAGCCTGGGAAAAAGAGAATCCTGCTTTTCTGCGAGACATAGTTTGTGTAGTTCTCATTGTCCCAAAAGACACAATGTTAGAGCATATAGTTGTTCAAAATTAGCTAACCTAGAAAAGGCCTACTGTTAAAACTTGATTAAGTGAACTGAAAGCACAAGACTGATTCTTCATAGTGAAAGCTGCCATTACATCAATAGGAAATGTAGCTCATTATTCTGGAGTCTAAAAAGACTTCACAAACGGCCGGTTAACAAGGTCCACTGGTACAAAGACTTCATACTCCAGGCTTTCTGCTCATTAAAAAGCATATTTCAGAGGGCAAATGAAGAGATAAAATCTAGAAAGTCCAGAGAAGGATGAAGCCTTTTTGATTACAGGATTTGATGTATCTTTTGGTCAATACATAGCAGTCGATCATGTATTTGATAAAGGACACAATACATCTCAGTTCTGGCTAATAATAAAGAAGTTGGCAGCTGTATATTTTCTTGGGGACAAAGCAGCAAGACCCCTATGATACTACGTAGCTTATACATTTACAATATTTGCAGCTAAATCACTTTTTTCATAGTGAGAGGTTTTTTCTTATAGTTAAAAAAAGGCATGCAATAATGCTCAGAATCAATGAAGAGCTCATGAAAATGAGATGTAAAATAACAGAACTATCATTCAGTTGCATTGCAGAGGACTACAAAAGTCAAGATTTCTGGGTTCTACTGCCAAGGTCTGTGATCCCTTGTATTTAACCAAGTTTCTGTTTCTCCATCTGTAGAACTACAAAACCATCCTTACAGGGAGATTAACAACTTCAGAGAGATAAGTTATCATGGGGTTATCAAGACCTTACTGGTTATCACCTCAGCTGATTCACAGTAATCACCCATGTATGCACTAAGCAGGTGGTAAAATGCTAGGTAATTCAACTGATCTCATTTATCCTTCCTTCAGCTCATTAGAGAAAGGCCTGAAAGAGCCACTGTGATAACTGGGTCATGTATAATGCAGCTGCATCAAACCTGGGACTTCATAGTGAACTAGTGGATCTTGGTGTGAAATTTTGGCTGTAACTTCAAGGAATAGAAGGTCTGAGATTCTTGAATGAAGACTGAGGAAAAGTGCCAAATACTGCTGTCATAAACTGCTAACACTATTCAAACAAAATTACTGCATTGTAAGAAAATGTGAAGGAAATAATAAAGTTCATCTCCAAAGAGGGAGCAAAGAAGATGATGATGGATCAGACATATTCTGAAGGTAAAATTCAAGATATTACAAGTTATGGAATGCCATGGGCATGCCTTGAAATGTCACATCTGCATCTCCAAAGCTGATTTCTACCCTAAGAGGCTCTTGAAGGAGTTCAGTTTAAGGTGCTTTATCTGCTTTTACTTTGAATTTTTCTATTCACTTCAACAACGGACATCTAAGATAAGGCCTAGTTATGGATTTTGATTCAGTGATGTGAATTAACTCTAGCCCTACCCTTTACAGATACCATCAACCTCTGATCCACATGCAAAGGCACTGGACTTAAGTTAGAAAGCTTTTAGAGGATTCCTACCGTATTCTTCAAGTGAAAATTTCTTCATGCAGTGAATACATGGACATTAACATATATGAGCAGATAAGTACATCAGCGTAATTTTCCTAATAAAAATTTCTCTGTTGCTTGCAATCATTAGATAAATTTGCACAAAAAACAGTTAAGATTCTAAGTTGATAAATAATTATTTTGAAAACTGGTTGTTTGAAGCTGGTAGATTCTCTATCACTTTGATGAGAGTTACTTGGCTGTCCTCATGCAACAAAGGTACTTCGTGAATGAGAATTGCATGAAACAATCTCAAGATGTTATTAGACATATGATTTAAATTGTCACAAAAATTAATTTACTATATTATTTGGTCAAAATTCTTCGAAACAAACAGACCCCCAAACATATATTAAACAGAACTGTTAAAAATTTTTAATCTGTATATCAAATCCCTACAGAGAATATCTCTTTTTTTCTTCTAAAATGTTAATAGTAAGACGACGACCACGACATGGATCTCCAAGTCAATTATTTTCTTGGCTATTAGAAGACTATAATTTTCAAAACTGAAGCCCCATTCCTGCATGAAAAACCTTACAAGGGTGACTGGGATGCAAAGACTGAATCCAACTTCCACTGCATTCAATGGGAAAAATTCCATTGACTTCAGTGTGCCTTGGATAAGAGCCCTGGCTGTGGGGTTTGATCCTTTTTACTTGCTGGTGACTTTGAAAAAAATCTTTGTTCTTGGTTTTGGTTTTCTCTGGAAAAATTCAAGAGTTTGAAGGCAGGTGGGAGAGTCTGGCCCAAGAATGGGGGCATGGTCACTTCATGGACCATAAGCACATACTGGCCTGAAAAAGATAAGGGAAAGTTGGGAATTAAACATTTCAAATGAGGAAAGAATAAAGCAAAACCTCCCCCAAACAAAACAGTTTCAGTACACAAACAGGGAGAAGTGACAGGAAAAAAGTTACAATCATAACAAGTATTTAAAACAAAGTATGAAAAAAATTATACAATTCCAATGCCAAATGCTGTTATATCTACTAAATCACAAATAGAAGACAACTGTAATCGTTGAGTAGCCAGCATGACAATTTGTGCTACCAATTAGGTTTATCCTTTATTATCATATACAATAATATCCCAAACCAACATACAGTTAAAATAGCAAAGACACCTCAATGGTAATTTAAACAGTGATTTATGATAATATAGGATTTTAATAATGGCTGGTGTATCTGTAGGATACTTTCTATCAAGAGCTCTCAGGTAATAAAATAAACAATAGGCCAAGTCCCATAAGCATGTATAAATGTACTCTCCTTCATGCATACGAACAGCATTAATAGCTCCTATGGGACCATTCATATATTTAAAATTGGATGAGTACCAATATATATACAACTCCCATGAAAAGCTGCCATGACTGTGTAAGACTAACACCAACAGGCCACCAATCCACTACAAGATTTGTAATAATAAGAAAAGTAGTGAATAGAGAAAGGTCAGCTGAGGACTTTTATGAAAATGGCCCTAGAATCTGTAGTGTCCTTGCATACCAGATGTATGAGTTCAAAATTTTCTAGAAAATAATGACAGCCTTCAAAACACTGACAAATAGACGAGGAGACAATCATTGTTCTGCCTTAGCAGATGGAAGGCTAAACTCAAATAATAGAAATGCATGGTGGTTGTGTAGTGTAAAGAGCCATAGCTGGAAAGTCTGAAAATCAAAGTAGATATTACACAATGGAAATAATTTTAAAGGAATACCGCTTTCCCCTACAGAATGAGACTGAAAAACAAGAAATAGTGCAACATGTCTGAAAGAAGTATTTTTAAGATACAACATACATTGCACTGACACTAGAAAAAAAATCCTAACTTACAGATTGATCAATCTCTGACCTCTATCAATCTCTTCACATGCAAATCTTCAATGAGACTTCAGCTTGCAGCTTTTGGTGCTAGTTCTGAATTATGAACAGAAAAGGCATTTCTTATAGGAACCTATGAATCTGTAGGGTGCCAATTAAACAATTTAACATCTCCTAAAACTCAACATCTCCTGCCTGTATTATGAGTTTCTTTGCTTTACTCTATGCATATAAAAAGGATCAAAATATAGGGTATTTACCATGCACCTTATGGAAATATCTGCTAGCTGCTCTATTTCTGGTGTATTACATTATCCAGACAATAGCCTTTTTAAATATCTGTACGCTATGTACAGTACAGATCTTGAACTACCATATATTCTGTATATTCCAGAGAGATAAACAGAAGCACAGATTGTTTTTTCTCCAGTAATTTTTTAAAGATAACATAGTCATTTAACTTTTTAACCTGAACTGCTTCTAATTACAGGGTTGTTGGTTTTTTTGTTTGCTTGTGTATGTGTTTGTGGGTTTTTTTAAGAGTGTAAAAGCTCTTATAACTGGTAAGCAGACCAACAAAAAGAAATTAGGACCCCTCAGATCAGACAGAAACATTTTAAACCCTTAAAGGAGTAAAACTGAGTGGAATTCACGAATTCATGACTATAGCTCTTTAGAGTAATCAATTCCAATCACTATTAATAATATAACTTTCCTTTCAAAGAATTACTTTCACCTTATAAAGTCAAAGCTTGTAACCTCCTTAATCTTTAATAGAGCCTGCAACAATTACTGTAAGGCATAGAGGATCTACAAGTTGGAAGCCCTGTGTGATTATCTCTTTTTCCAACAGACTCTTCTGACGATCATAAATAACAGTACAATTACCATAAAAATTAACAGTACTACAGTTAAAGAAAATCATTATGTAAAGGTTTATGAATTTTGCAGCCACTAATAGACATAAGTTAATGAGCCATAGGCTTTCCAGAATATGATATCAGATATTTTTCCACCAATGAAACCTTCAGAGTTCCAAATCCTTCAGAGGTCACCAACTTCAAAAATAGAATAGAAAGTTACTGTTTAATACTAATGTGAGTAAAAATGAAAGCGAAGTGTTATAGCAAGTATCACGCATGGCAATTTGAACAGTCTAATAAAACAAGATAAGGAAATCTACCTTGTCAACAACTTGGAATGAAGAAAGACAAAACTAGAATATTGAAGATGAGCAAGATGCATTTTGAATACTCTCTGCATATTTTAAATTCACACGTACGCAGATTCATAGCTTTAAGCTAGAAGGGAAAATTAGGATCAGGGCTTACAGACACCAAGTAATGGAGAGAAATTTATCATGCCCCTTGGAAATATGTTCCCAAAAAGGTTATTGTAAAGAATGTGCATTTTGACAACAGCAAATAAAGCTGATCTTCCATTCCATTACCCTTATGCTGTATGCCTGGGATGCTTCAAGCTCACAGTAACAAAAATATCAAGGAAGCATGGCTCCTATAATAACAATGGCCTTTGTTTTTGTCAGTCATGTTTTTAAAGAAATGGCAGATATCTGAGTTTTTAAAATTACTAATAAAACTCACTACAGCACAAGAAACGAGTATACATCATCCATTTTAAGGAAATAAAAGGGTTTTGTTTTTTTTAATCTTTTCCCTCCAGTCAGGAGATAATAATATTCCCCCTTGGACAGTAACTGCCAATTTCTTGACTTAAACAAGCAGGTACAACCTCACCAGCATAATTCAGTGACATTATTTGATGTGAACTGATGATCTGGACCCAGTGGATAGCACGTTGCACTGCTTCTCCTGTTCCTCTGTAGCCTTAAGAACATGCATTTATTCACACTTTCTCATGCTATTGCCACATATTTATTTTCAAAGTAAACGTCAATGAAAGCTTCCTTCCATATGTGACTTTGTTTTTTGGTGTCATAAGAGCAGAAGACTGAAGGCTCCCACAATCTTGTTTATAATCATGTACAAGATAAATATAATGGTTTTAGAGAATATCAGAAACAACAGAATACTAATTAAAAGTAGCACCCAAAATTGTCAAGATACATGACATATTAGACATTTAATCAAGACACTAAAGATAAATGTTTTGAAAGAAAAAGTTCCAGGAAAATTTGACTGGTTTTCTTTACTAATCCTAGAAGTAATTTAAGAATTGACATAATCTTCATGATCAATATGTTCAGTCCTGAAATTATACTATAAACCAGCTTCTACAGCTTTTCAGTTGATGAATATGATAATACAGACAGGGAAGAAAAAAATCTTTACCTTGTAATGTCTTCGAATTCTTTATGAGGTGCTGATCTTTTTGTAGCTTGTATTCTTTGGATGTCATGTGAGATCTAAAGATTAGAATAAATATATTGTTACTACCAATAATGATGCTTACTTACATGTTGATGAGAGCTTGTTGTTATTAGCTCATAAGACAGTTCAAGACTCTTCCTCCTGTAAGATGTTTTGTACTGTTCACTTTAATGTGAAATACTTGGCCACTTTCAAAACAATATAATAACAAGCTCCAGATCCTTTAGGCTGGATTTTCAAAAGCATTCAGTATCCTGAAGCCATGTTGCCTTCTTTGCCAAAATAAGCTAAATATTACCAATTGATGTAACAATTTAAAAGGTGTAAACATATTTGTGAGATAAAAAAATTATACTTTGAAAATTATAAAGGAAGTGTCTAACAAGTACTACCTGAGTCACAGTCACAATCATGTTACACTATAGACTACAAAGCCACTTACATTAAAATAGTGTACAGATTATTCACATTTTATAGTACACATGTTGATACTTTAGTGTATGAAACTCCTTGTACATGAGAAAGCTTAAAATATATTGAAAAAAGCTAGTATTTAAATAGTTATCCTTGTATTTCATAAAAATAAACACTTCTCACTACTGATGAGCAATGAAAATGAAAAAGGTTCTCTCTTCTTCTTCCATCATTTATTCACTTCTTTCCTACTTGAAAGTTATTAGGACATTCATAACAAAGCACAGAACAACATGATTATTAGGAAGGTATTTAATTGTGTGCTTATGTCCCATGAAAAACAGACTGATCTAGTGACACTACAATTGTACTTTGTGGGAAGCTGGATTTAAAGGAGATTACGTGCTTTTTATTTTACCAGTGTTTCAACATCATCCTTGAAAAACTCTTGGCAATTAAAAGATTTTGATCCTAGAGGAGAAAGCCTCAAGACTGCTCTATAACATGTGATATGAGATAGTATAGGAATGGTATTTTAAAAAAAACACATATCAATTGGAGATCCACTATTGAATATAGGTGGTAAGAATCATATACAAGTAAACATAAAAAGGTTTCTACAGCCTAGTTACCTTAGAATTACAATTACAAAAAAATCAGATACTGCATCTTAAACATACTTACATATTCAAATTTTACATGTACATTTTTTAATGGTAAAACACTAAAGACAAAAGATAAAAATGGCTTCACTTTAAAGGGGCTGGGGCGGGGAGGAGATACATCCCAAGAGTCAAGTTAAAGATTCAGAAGTCAGGGCTAGGAGGGAAAAGGAAGATAATTAATTTAGCATGAAGCATAACTAAAGCCTGTCAGTCTGCCAACTTTAAGAGAAATAAAAAGGTTTACAAGGATCCTGAGAGTTTTTACAGAATCTCTAGGGTTTTGAAAAAATAAATCCAGAACAAGAAAAGAGTTCTGAAGTACTCTGCATAAACAGATTTTAAAGACACTGATTAGACTGTGAGAATAATGGTATGGAAAGATTCCTCTAGTTCAAAATTAGACTGTTCTCTGGTGTTATGTTTGCCCTCCTTTATCATCACCGACTGCATCATCAGTAGAGCTGTCTTTTTTCACAGGTGCATCGCCCTGTCAGAAACCAGGGAAGATGTGCTTATGGTCGACCCAAACATATCAGTACCATTTTGAATAATATGGATAAGCCTATGTTTGGCATTAAATGTACAGGCACTGCACAACACATACACAGTTATTCTTCTAAGATGAACCACATGTTCATGCTTAAATACCAATTCTGATTGCCTTTGAGTTGAGTAATTTCTGTGTTTTGGAGTGTCCATATTCATGGCTTAACGTAAGACAACTAAGCAAATAAAAGTCTTCGTAAGCCTTGGCCACTCTTTTTATGGGAGGGGGGTAGCGCAGGGGGGGAGAAAGGGGAAGCTTCACATTATTTTCTTCTACTTTAAATTAATTTTTTTCCTCTTATTGTTTTTTTGCAGTAAGAATATATAGCGAGGTCCTTTGAATTGCATAAAAACAGGAGTTAAACTGCAAAACCTGCACCTATGTGAAAAACTTTAATTCCATATCATCATCACTTTTTACTTCAAACTAAGATGTAACCTTGTACTTCATTGCTCAGACAATGTTAACTGTAGGAGAATCACAGAAAGGAACCAAGTTCATTTAAGACATAAAGCAATTTTGAATTGCATTGATTACAGTGATCAGTCTATCACTTTAATGTCATCTCAGCTGGCATTTATTAAAAAGACATACATGTGACAACCCATTGATCCTTAACACTGTAGCTGAGATAAAAAGTCTATTTGCAAAGGAAAATTACTTCTTTAATTAGAAATGGAGTATCATTTTCTCTTTTCTTTGTTAGAACTTCAGCAGCCACGGATGAAATATATCATGGGAGGGGTCGTAGAATCTGCCATCTAGTTTGATTTAAAAGTCTTCATAGTTAATCATTCAAAGTTGTACAAATGAGCACTTGAGATGGGAAAGAAAACAGGTATATTCCACCTGTATGAAGGCATTCCAACTCACTACTGCTTAGGAAAGGTCTCAAAAAGGAGTGCTTTACTTCCTGGTGGACTCTGCCATAAGACTGAATTTCAGGGGACAGGGTCACTACTGCTTGAAGTCCCTCTCTACACATGGAGTAAAGCAGCAAACAAAAATCGTTCCACAGACTTTCTGTAAGATTTTCAATGAGTTAACTATGGCCAGGCATATACCTCTCCTAACGACAAACTACTGAATACAAGTATTTGCTGAAAAAGAATCCAGCAAATATTTGCCAAAGAATATACTGTAGAAATGACTGAATCTTGCCAGTCATTTAATGTATATGGAAAAAATAAATCGCTGTCTACTAAAAGATATTCCACAAGCAGATGAAATGATAAATGTGTCCGACACACTGTGAAGGACATGCTGTTCTATAAATTCCAGGAGGATTCCTTGTCGGTGAACAGAATTTTGAAGCCAAGTAATTTAATCTGTGGACCTATAAAATCCTATTTTTAACAGTCTGTTTTATCTTTGTACAAATCCAAAATTACATATTTGGAAAACCTTACCTTTCATACAGTGTCTCTTTTAGCTCTAGGGATAGCCAGTCTGATTCTCCGTTAAGAGGCGAATCTATCAATTGAATTGCCTTCTTTTTATAAACTGTATTAATGATTTCCTATCAATCTCTCTCAGGAATGCAGGGGCATCTCCACACTCTACAGACGTGCATTCTACCACTCCTTCTACTGTTCTGTCAGTATCATGACCTTTGGGAAACAAAGACAATGGTAAGTTTGCATGACTCATTACAAACTGCTATTATGGTTTCAACTTTGGCAGCGATCTTAGTGCTGCACTACTAGTTTTATTTTATACACTGCCTGAAAAGCATGTAACTCAGCAGATACGGGTTTAATTTCTCTGAGTTTTCAGGATGAAAATCGTGAACTAATACTACGGTGGAGTACACAAGTAAATCTGCACACTCTTGTGGAAGTAGACTTTTTACATCAAGTGGAATTAATTCTGGATAATTAACTCCTATTCCATTTCCCCATCAATTAAAATCAGAAAAATTCAATGCCCTGCTGATTTTTTAGCTGAATACAGAGTCTATATAGTAAAAGATGTCCAGACTGAATGATTATTTACAACAAAGGTCTTCAGGACCTTGAATTATTTGGATTCTTTTGTGCAGTATGTAATATTCAGGATTTACTTAAATTGCTGCCTACCAATAAACTACCAGTAACTCATCATCTAGTCATAAAAACAACTTAATTGGACTGCTATTAGATATTTAATTGCCTTCACAATGTTTGTACAGTATTTGCCTATAAAGCTTTAGATAATATTGCCTTAATTCATCTGAGTAAACTATCAATTCCCTTACAACAATAGACAAAAATCTGCATTCCTGTTTTAACTTTCCCCAGGGCATGAATGAAAACTTTCAGGTGGCAGATCTTTATTTTGCTATAAACTCTCATTATGGCAAGGCAAGTTGTCACAGATGACGGCTACTGAAACATTTAAGTGTGTATCTCCAGCCATTACGCAGGGAACAGGAGCTGTGCAAAAATGCCCTGTACAAGCTCTGAAAATTTAGCTCTCAAACATCTAGAAATGCAGAATTGATTGGCTGTGATTATTCTTCATAGCAAATAATTTTCATCTTTAACTAGACTCAACTGGTGAAATACTCAGCTGTTATCAATCAGTGAAAGTAATTTCAATATGACTATGGCTATTTTACAGAAGATACAAATTTGGCCCAAAGTTTGTAGTTCTCTTTGAAATAGCTCTGTATGAACATGCACAAATGTAAATTAATAATTTATCTGCTGCAGGGTAAGGAAAGGAACCAGCACATACAGAATTTGGGGTTTAATCTCTAAAACTGGGCAGGAAGATCTGAATTGGGATACTAGAATCATGATTATTCAGCTGAAACGGAGAATCTGGGCTCCCAAGGTTAGGTTAAGATTAAGGAGAATTCCTGGTCTTAGTATGTGTTACTGTTTAAGTGGTATTTTGACACAGAGCTATGTATTTACAAACATAAAGAGCCTAAATTAGCAAATTCTATGTAAAGATATCACTTTATGTCTAGAACTTGATGAAATGATTCCAAATACTTTAGAAGTATGAAAAAATTTCTATTCAGGATGGTGGAACAATTTGAGTTGAGTGATTTTTATATTATTAGTTTACAAAAGGTAAATTACATATAGGAGGCTAGGACCATACAATATAACAACAGAGATGGAGAGTCTCAGTATCCAGAACTACTGCTCTGAATACAGGATACAGTTGCTGTATAGAATGACTTATATGAAAAAAATTAATGGATGGAATTCATATCTGCTCCAATTCCAGAATCTAGTGTAGGATGATGCTAATATCATCTAATAATATCAGGATCAAAGATGAGTGGAATAAAACTTCCAATTTTAGATGCTCTTTATCTGCAGGTGTGAATGTATAATGAATTCTCGCCACTGGCTCTCTATTATAAATCCAATGATTTTGTACTCTATGACAGCAGTTTCTACAATTTTCTTTT